TGGACCAGACTGGTCACATCCACACTACAGCACCTGACCCCAATCTTTTGTTGGGCTGCATGTGACATCCCTCTGGCCTTAACACTTACATATATAAAATTATTTTATTTTTAATTCAATATGTCCAAATAGTGACCAGTGCAATGCATCCCATGAAAGAATTGTTCATGCTGATTATCATATGCTTAAAGTTTTGGGATATAGTATGAGAGCACATAGTGTGCAAGACCTGCTGATGCAGTGTTGGAGACCTGTCCCGATTAGCAGGAGCTGAAGTTGGTATGGTCTACACCCTAACTATCTGGTCAAACTAGTGTTATACAGACATGTCCTCTAAGGAAGAGGGAGGACACAAAACTGTTTCTCTCTAAGAAGAAATAAGTGAACCAGCTACCACATACACAGTGTGGCTCATTGTGGTGACAGCACCCAAACAACAACAACAACAACAAAAAAAAGAAAATGAGCAGGGGAAGATGGGAGTGTAGACAAACCACATAATTACTGTGCTGTTCACAATGGAAGAAAAAAAAATGTTTAATTTGTCTACTTTCATTAAGGCTTGTGTGTCAAAGACTCCCAACGTTTTCCTGGCACCCATTAAGTGTATCACTGTTGAAGTTTGTTCCTATTCCTGGGTTGTTTTGTGTGCGAGGGGTTTTTTTGTGTGTTTGACAAGGGTTTGGGGTAGGGTTTTTTTTGGTGTTTTTTTTTTGTTTGTTTGTTTTGTTTTTTACAACTCCAACACCACAGTAGAATAGTGGACAAACCTGCCATCATGTAACAGCAAACAACTGGAGAATACTTTTATTTAAATGTTATCAGAGATGTTTGTATTGTAATGAACCAGACCTCATACTTATAAACAACATTATCTTTTTACAGGAAGAAACATACAGTTGTCTATATTAGGATATGTTATTTTCTTTTTTAAATCTTTAAAGATAAAAAGGAGAGATATATTTAGATACAGGAACTTCATGATTCAACGTATATTTTACCCATTACATCACAACAAAATTTGCTTACTGGAGTTAAAAAAAAAAAAAGGGGGGTTTACCCTACTACTTTTTTTAGAACATTTTTACAAGGACAGTTAGCTCCTATACCATACAGTAAGAACTGACCTGTACAATGTCAGTACCGCTGACCTATATAAAATTCATGTGGGTAGAAAAGAGAGACCAAAACTAGTTTTAATTCATTCACTTCGCCTATTCTCAAAAGGCAACAGACAGCTGAGTACTCTGCTTGTTGCACCACGGACAGACACAGCCTGTGCTTATGGAGCCAGAGAGGAAACGCTGAATAGAAGAAGGGAAGAGAAGGAGGAAGAGTAAAACTTCAGGAACCAGTGAGAGAGAGTATGTAAGAAAAGGTGAGCATATTAGGGAATGCGTTTTTTCATTAGTAAAGAGTTATACAATTTGGATTTTATTTCCTCTTGAAATTATTATTGAACAACCAATTTTCTAAAAGTTTTCAACAACAGCACTCTTAATCCAAATCCCAATGTTCTGAACACCAGGAACTCTACAAGTAAAAAAGGATGAAAGTTCTATAAACATTAATTTACCTAACAAGGAATGCAATTTCTTTTTCAAGTTTTTCTTTTATATATGCTGAGGTAGTCCATGGTATAAAGGCAGATTAAGAAGAGAACTCTGACAGATCAGAATTCTTGTTCAGAGGCAAATTCCTGCCTCCTTATCATTGCTACCACTCCAGTATCACTTTTTTCCAAGTTTTATTAACTAATAACAAAAATATTACAAAGCACAGCCACAAATATGAAACTGATAACCTAATTGGAATGTTCTTTTACAAACACATGAATTTAATTGCCTGACAAGCAATGGTTTATTTCAAAGGTCCATCTTAGCTACCAGTCATGAAGATTTGATTTTTCCCTAGTGCAACTGGCAAAATTAGTTTTGTCCACACAGATGAAAGTCCATAAATGCAAAAGAAAAAAGTAATTGTCTTTTTGATTATTATCTACCAGAAGTGCACCAAAAAAGAAAAAAAAAAGGCAAAAAGGAAAAAAAGGCATAACGAGCAGGTTATTTCAAAGAGAAGCAGACACTAGGTACACACAATGATACACCTGATACTGCATATGAAGCAACTTCTGCTGCTGCCTTCAAAATCCAGAATGGACTTACATCCAATATTACAGCATGCTTAGATACATATTCTGTTGTACAAGATACTGCATATAACACAAGTTAGGGTAAATAACATTAGACTATTTCCATAGTGCTGACTATGGAAATTTTGGTTCAATCTATGCTTAAAAAGAAACATGAATATCCAGTATTAACATTTTAATTGTTTCATTCTGATCAGGTCACCAATACCTCTTTCATCATTCTTTAGCACACATACACTTTGAAGTTATAGCTCACTCCTTTTCATTCCTTTAAAGTTTAGGTTCTTTTATTAGTTTTTAAGATGATAATTACTAATTAATAAAACATCAATAAATAAGTGCTTTGTATTTAAGCATATGAGTAACATAGCAGAGAAGTCTGTGTGCCTACAGACAGCAGAGAATAAGCAAATTACACCTGCTTTTCTGGTTCTCCTTGTTTATTTCATGTGCTGGAGGAAAGCAGTAGTCCAAACCAGAGACACACTTGCAGAGTGTGGAAATCATAGAGGAGTCTCTCTCTTCTGCCATGAAATTATAACAATATTCTATGAGAAGAGAAATAGATGGTGCTCTGCTCTGCAAGAGCACGGGAGAGAAGGGAATTACTTAAAAGTATTCAACTTTCCTGGATTTAATACTCAGAGGTCACTATTGTTTTCAGTAAATACTGGCCTTCACACATACACGCACAGACTAAATGCACTAATAAACTAAACTAAAACTAATAAACTTAGCGAGATGTTAGGGAACTTACTGCTATCTGGATACCGAATATCTCATTATTAAAAAACAAAAAAAAAACAAAACCAAAACAAAAGCTGAACATTCTTAGAAGAAGAAAATATTAAAAAAGGCTAACTTTCATCACAAATTTGTAAATCTGCCGTTTCCTTTATTCTGCTCTTGATATATTTTTTAGTTTTCGGGACTTAAATGAAAAAATATTAAGCCACAGAACTCATACTTGGGAAGTATAAGTGATGGGGGTTTGCATCTCCAACCAAAGGCATCTTCAGGGAAGAGCAGCTGCATGGGACCATTTGCTAAGCACTCTACTTCCATACCACAAACACCAGTGCTTACTGACCAAGCCCTCCTGCTTCACAATATAAGAAGTGCTTCAAATACTGGAACAAATTCTAGGGTTTACGAGTTGAACATTCCAAGAGTAGCACAGCTATGCCACGAACAAAGACACCAAACAGAAAACAAAGACAATACAGGAAAGAGTTTGTAACTCAAAATGCCGGCTCGTATAGGGAGCATAAAACAAAGAACTACTGGATCCCTCCACAGAACTGGGACACTGCAAGAACAAATTCTGTTCAAAGGCTTGAGGCTCAATCAATTAGAAGGAAATACCATCAAACAAACTTAGTTTAGTCACCATTAGACTCAGTTAATACATTCTGCCTTCTTATTAGCTACTGACATGGATCAAAAAGCAGGAAAATGAGTGGGCTTTCTACAGGTACAGCCAAATAAAAAGATGGCTGTATAATCTATTAATCTATTAATAGTATAGTCTATTAATATTAACAGTATAATCTATTAAATAATCTAATAATCTATTACAGGGTCAGGGCATAGAGATGTCTACAAAAAAACCCCTAAAGTTGTATTCATTTAGAAGCACTGTACAGTTGTCAACTGTCACAGTTGCATTTTCAAAACAGATTTGAGTTAAATTAAATGCATTAAGATAGTTTACCTTCCCTGTACTAATAACATTCAGATAGCAACGGAAGTTAAAATCTAAACTATTTTTCAACATATACACTATTACCTTGCTGAACTACACTACACTTGATCAAAACAGATTAGTCAGTTTCCTCCTCAAACCACCAGATCATCACTACTTCTTAAAAGTAAGAGGCCTCTCCTCTTAGCTTTACAGGTTCTTTATATCACAGAAATGTTGTGCAATTACTGCATTATGGAGGTCTTACGCCCACCAGACAAAAACATTGTCCTGATACACCATTTTGAACTTTCACAGTTTATTTTGTAACTTCAAAAGGGTCTTTGTCCTCAAAGACCTTTTGTGTGGCTGAATTTCATAAAATATGCTATTTCCAGTATTTTACAAAACCTAGTTTTCAAGCAAAGAAGTTTGTGAATCTGTCCATTCTGTGAAAGAATCTCTCTAGACCTTTTGAAACTTTAACTTTTGTTTTCTTTAATTAAAACAGGAACTGAAACAAAAGCACATGCAGATGCTATTAAAGCAAGCCTTCTTTAATGAGATGTTGCTGACCATGTATCAGCAGCACCACCATGTGTTAAGTGAACAAGATATTTATTACTGAGAGATTACTGGTATTGCAGCATATAATGAACCATTCACAATTTAAGTAATTGATGTAGGCCTAAATAGTAACAATATTTTTACACCACGTTGCCATGCCAAACTTGCAAAGCCTTTAACCTGTTGTACCATTTCAAGTAATATTAGAACTTTAAAGAGTTTAAAAAAAACCAACACAATTTATTATTTTCCACTGCTAATGAAATATAAAAAAGAGAAATAAATATCCCTGAGAAGGATTAATTAAGATCTAATGTCACACGCACTGAATGGATTCAGTATATCACCATATATTACTCAAGACAGAAAGAAGGAGAGAAGAAAGAAAGAGAAGGCTTTGTTCCCTAGTATGATACTGAGATCAGCATAAATAAAATACTTCAGAAATACTGTAAAACTAATTGTAATATTGCTTAGTGCTAAAGTTACAGTGGTATTAGTGTACTTTATATATAAATACTTCTTTAGAAGGTATATTGAATGTCAAAATTTACAAAATTACAGCTTATTATGAAAACATTTATGAACATTACTTACACTAACACGGGTTTTCCTGATATCTTAGGGCTGTTTAAAACCTCTATCATGGCTTGCTTCGTTTCTTCCATTCTTGCAATGTCACTGGAATCCACAACAAATATTACACCATAGGACTCTGCATAGTAATTTCTCCAGATATTTCGAATTCGTTTTCCACCTCCTAAATCAAAGATGGTGACTTCAAAGCGTCCCTGTTTAAGGTCAATCTTGGAAAACCCAACTGTTGGAGCCACGTCTTCAGGAGACTCTGTCAGAGTTCAAAGAAGAAAGCCTTCAGTAAAAAGTGTCTTTAGTTACTTAAGGAGGATTTTACATAGTGACTTGTGTAGCAAAATTCATATCTTAACAAGGAGGGTTTGCTCCATGTTGTTAAGTGACACCATATTGCTAACCACATATTTTTTACATTAAGACTTTCCCGCTCCTCAGGTAATTTCAAATTAATGCACTAGGCTCTCAACCACTTACTTCACGTTAATTTAGATAAGAGCACAAAGAAAAAAAAAAAAAGAGCCCAAAATGCAAATTTTAATACTTAACACTTAAATTGCAGTGGTGTTCAGTGTACTGCAGTTTTTATGTTCCCCCCTCACCACCAATGCTCCTATTTGAACAGTTATACACCATTTGTACCATGTTAATCCAAGTTTGAAAAGGAAAACAAACAAAACAGTTAATGCATTATGACCTGAGAAGCCTTGTCTTCTGCCAAATTTATTCTTTATCCCTCATGATTGCCAAAACAGCTTCAAAAGTTCAAACCATGGGCTGAAATGAAGTGACTGAAACCATGTTCTCCTCAGATGTAAACAACTTGATTCCCTTCATTCAAGATAAGGTTTTGGCCTTTGTTTATTTTTATTTTCTGGTTTTCAGATTACCATGCAATATGCCAAAAACCTAAAGCTTTATATTTAATACTTTTGCTTGCTCTCTCCCTTTCTGGAGGGCAAAGAATGCCTGGACTTGCCTTACACCACGAAGTTGTCTCTGCATGGGTCACTTAATTGGACCTCTGCAACTATTTTATGTAGCCTGGTAGCACAAGGCAGGAGAAACAGACATAAAATGCAGCTTCTTGAGAGGAAGAAATGAAGGCATGGTCAAAAGCACTGAGCTCTGAAGAGCAGTGCAGAAGTTAAATCACCACCAGCCTTCTGCTACCATGTTCCTTTTTCGAGCCGAGATGGGGATTCAGAACTGACCCCTTGGCCAGAACTGTGTAAGCCAGGACTCCAGCAAGAGAAAAGTCCGGGACCCCTAAATGTGAAAAACTACAGCTTCAAAACTCAGCAGGCTTTATTCTGAAGAACATTTTGCACTGTGAGCCGTTAAGTATGTGATCTTACAGGAGAAAACAATGTGAACATGAGGGTTGGTTAAGAGTGAAAGTTATTGATGGTGCTGAATGTAAGAGGATATTGTTGAAATGTCTGCTCCTATTTTACAGGGAGGTCTCCAATAATAAACAGTCTTCAATACAAAAACAGGGCCTGCCATGCAAACTGCAGGCTCATTTTGGCAAATATGACTTAGATGACTATGCTGGTTTGCCCAGGTTTAAGAGTCCTCAGAACTGAGATATATTTGGTTTCTGCTAAAACCCAGCAATCATAACTGTGGTCTCCTCCTATAGGCTGTATCACTGGTGCATGGCCAAAAATACTCATTTTATCAACCGTGAAGACTAAATGAAGGTTATAAACTCCGCAAACCCTGTTAAGGAAACAAAAAAAATGCTTTCTAAGGCAAGCACTAGTCAAGCCCTCAGAAACAGTCACAGAAGTAAGAACTATCTTTTCCTGGAGTTTCCCTTTAGAAATACCCATCTTTATCCCATTTTTTTCCCAGGAAAAAAAAAAAAAAAATGGACTTTTGGAAATAATTGTCACATTTAGCTGATAAAGGCATTAAAGTTGATTTTGAAACAGAATGGAAGGCTAAATAATGAAGCACCCATGCTCTCAGGGCAAAGATTCAGGAATATAAATGAGAGAATATTCATAACTTTACTCACGTTAGCAAGTTTGTGAACTTACATAACGTGTAAACAGAAAGTCAAGGTGGAGTCTCCAAGTCTGCCAAAACACTACTAAGTACACTCTTGTTATTATACAAGATGAAAGTTATTTAGAAAGACAATCCCACAAGGAGGGGGAGGCGGGGGGGGGAAACACATAGAGAATTTTTGTTTTCATAAGCCCAAGTTTTATCTCAAATTGTATCCTGCTTGCATGGGGCACTGGATGATGCTAAGTACCCTCCCAAATCAAGTGGTCTCTTATTGAAGTAAGTGCCTAGAAAAATGCTAGTGCTTTTCTAGTGATAAATAATGATATAAAATATATATCACTAGAACCATCCTTTATGTTAGATACATACACATGCAATTCCCTTCTTTTGGACCTTTTCCTTATTATACACACTAAACAACATTGATTTTAATATAGGTTACTGATGTATGTGCGTTACTGGATGGTCACCTGAAAGTAACTTCAGCAAACACGCAAAAAAAAAAAAAAAAAATCAGGTCCATTCATTTCTCTAATGTATACTAGAATGTGAAACACATCATTAACCAGAATATTTTGTATCATTGCATTAATTCAAAGTAATTATTAATTAGAATGTGGTCTACAGCCTTCAGAGTTTTTGTCCTATACTTTCATTCACTTAAAGCAACTGATGAAGACAGAGTGCTTGTAGTTACAATGTTCCTTCAGCTATTTATTGAACAATTTGCAAAACCTTTCTCTAGTCCAAAAATACTCTATGATGGTGATGAAATTTAAACAAGAACCCAGAACAGATTTTGCTGCAACTTAGCATTTTGCACAGTTAACAATACAGTGGTCAACTCAAGGCACATAAGCTCCAAGGTATTCTAAACATTTGGTCTTGGTGTTTCCAAGATAATTAGACACCTCTATAGACTAATTTTTTCTGTCTCAGTGGACTAAGGGTTCTAATGCTGCATTGTCCAACGTCTTAAGAGGCAGCTCTCTCCATACTATCTACCTTGCCTCTATGCCATACTATTACCCTTGAAAATGATGTAGAACAACAGTAGCAACTTTGTTGAACTATGACTGATTTGGTCTACTTTAGCTCAACATCATGATAAGTGCAGTGGCCAATGAGCAGACACAGAGCTTGCCCTGCTGCTTCTTCTGAGCATAAAGCACATGACTGGGAGCACCTACTTTTTAGTCACCCTAGCATGACTTCCTGGATATCAAAAAACAGGATCTTTATGTTTCAAAGGTAAGACCCCTTAATTTTTCTCTGCAGGTCTTCACACAATGGGGCCTGTGACATGGTCACTTTGTCAAGCACACTTGTACCACTTTTGGTGGTAAAATCATCGAAATTTTCTTTCAACAATATGGGAAGGAGAGATAAATTAAGAGATGAAACAATATTTTTAGATTAAAATGATGGAAAATTAGTAATTATACTATCTCTTTCAATGCTTCATATAGATGATGAAAAAAATAATTGCTTACCTCCTTGAATTCCTCGGACTGTAGCAGTTTTACCAGCATTATCAAGACCCACCATTATGAGTGTCACCTTCCTCCATAAGGAGAGAAAAAAAAAATTCAAATATTTTTTTCCTCTAGCTAGACATCACGTATTATGTTTTTTAATACATGCATAGCAACTTTACCACAAAGCAGTAGAAAGAATAGGTATCAAAATACCAAGTAGCAGGCATTGTTACAATTGTGTATCTGGTGTTCCCATATGTCAAACCACCTGATTAAACAGAACAGCAGAACAAGGTATGAAATGAGAAGTCTAATATTGTGCTGTAAATTCCACATGAGACAATGATTTTCCTTTCAACTTGTATTTGCCTGCTGGAATTTAATTTCACGGTACTGTAAACTTTATCCTTTTTTTGGTGTGGTCATGGCCTCTTCAACAATTTCTGTAATTTCATTTCTATTCACCTGTATTTTTACCGTCTCTCTGCCTCAAAGTTGTGCCTATACTAAAAATTTATTTCTGTCTCAATTAGTGCATCTAAACAACACTACACAGTATGCAACACTTGTGTAGACTGCAAATAAGTGGCACCGGTACTCATCATGCCTTTGTTTCAAGCAGAAGCAATCATGCCTTTGTTTCAAGCAGAAGCAATCTAGACTGTAAATGTGCAAACAGTGGTGTTGAGTATGTACAATATATTAGCAAACTGGCATACAAGTTAAAATTCTATCCTGGTATAAATTCTAAGGAAAGCAATAGGAAAAACATATCTATGTCTATACCTCAATTGTTCTACCTATTCACAAAGACTCAGAGGAGTCAAAGGAATTTGCTCAATTTTATGTCCCTTTAAGTGAAGGAATACTAAAAACATTGTTATTTCCAGTCTTAAAATTATAAGAGCATCATATAGGAAGTATAATTTATGCAAGTTCTTTCAGAAAAGCCAAAAAGGTGTGAGAAGAGAGCCTAAAAATGAACAGTAGGATCACAGTAATTTCTATTTCAAAAGTAAGCTAAAACCAGAACAGCCATTAACATTTATAAAGTCACAATTGTCTATAATAAATTGGTAGTGTCAGAAAGCTATTCAATCCGATATAGTTCTCTGAACAGCAGCATCTTCTGTAAAACTTAAACTATGTAGCATTGAAGAAAAGGGCTAATCCTCTTATATGACTGTGAAGTATAAATAAGTGTGGTGTATTCTTTATTCCCCTTCCTCATAGTTTGTAAATAGTTTGAAATAAACTATGCATTATCTGTGCATCTCTGCTAACTGGAGGGAAGAGGACGCACAATGTAAAAGTAACAGAAACAAACAAGAACAGTAGAATTCCATAAGCAAGAATGGATCACCAGGCTACCCACAAAATGCAGTATTACGATACTTAGATAATAGTAAGAAACACTAGGGGTACAGTCTACTGTTGACAACAAAGTGTTTTCACACATTACACCTCAGAATCTCACAATGGGGAAACTGGATCAATTACATAAAACCCAAATAACCTTTACATAAACATTCTAGCATCACCCCATAATGCTCAACTTGAGGAAACAGTATGCAAAGGACTATATTTTGAACTTCATACTTTCCTGAAGTCAGAAACAAAGCACCTGAATTAGAGATGATTAACATTTCATTTTTAAGTTCAGAAGACATATTGATTCTCTCTTGGAAAAAAAACATGATGGATTTTATCTCGGAATTAAAAAATACAAAACAACATTATACAACAAATAAAGAAAAACATAGGTGAGAGGACATGAAATACAATTCGGGAAGGTCAGCACAGAAATGTAAAATACTTTCACATGTTTACCTGATAGGTTCCTGCCACCGTTTTAACCAGCTGCAGCAATTGGCCATTAGACTGAACATCCCTCTTCACTAGCCATCCAGAGCCACGAAAGCTACAGAAGCAATGAGGACAGGCCAGAACAATCGAAGAAGACCAGGAGAGAAACTGCAGAGGCCCAGATGCTGTCTTGTCACTGCCAGCAAAGAGGAAAAAAAAAAAAAGAAAAAAAAAAAGAAGAAATACATAGTTAAAAAGAAGAAATGCATAGTTCGCCCCTATGTATAACCAAGGCAAGCCATTTCCCTAGCAGCAGCCTGTTTATTCAGAGTTGTCATACTCAGTCAGCCCCATGACAATCTCATTACATCTTTCACTTTTCCATCCTCTCACACTTCATCTGCCCCCGTTTTACATATCTGGGCAGCAACAACACAGTACTCATATAAAAACATAATGCAAGACCACTGCACTTAAGGAAACCTGCAAGTTAGAGCAGTAAGACATACCAAGCTATGAAATTCCAGTGCTTGCCTTGCTAACATATCCCACAGCTCTGCTGACTGACAGAAAATAAGGACCAATTTCAAGCTTGAGTAAGGCTTCTAAGAACACAAAAGGCTAAGATATTAAAAGCAAACAAAGAATCTCCTACCTGTTAAGTATATTCATTTAGCTGTCAATTTCTTTTACACATAAAGATCCCACAACAAGGAAAATTGGTGTGCTAGTGAGTGCTTTGAGGAACTGGCAACTTAATATCTAGTAATCGTCACTAAATTAGATAGAAGTATCAAGTACTTTCATCATTTTGCAATCCCACTTTCTACTCTTCAAGCAGGAAAAAGAATCAGAGAATATTCCTCGTTCTGATGCTGCTATGTGAAACAAACAATGGAGAATAATTGTGTGATCACGTGCATGTTTATTTCTTTGTACATGCACTTAGCTATGAACCAGGAAAGCTTACACAAACCATGCAGTGAAGTGCACAAAGATGCATATGCTTTAAAATTCCCTTAGTTATTCAGCTACAATAATCCTACTGCAAACAACAGTAGTTGTCCAGGTAAAGGCCTTTCGCCAGCAAGCTTTGGGCAACTTTACTTCACAAGTTCAAATCTCAACCTCCCTGGTAGGATGATGTAACCAGTCTGGCTGCTATTTTTTTCACAGCAGCCTGTATGGTGCTGCGGTTTGTATTTTTGGCTAAAACTCTGCTGATAACACGCAAATATTTTGGCTATTGCTGGACAGCGCTTGCAGAGCATCAAGGCTCTTCTCTCTTTCCCACTCTACCCTACCCTTCTCTCCCCGCAGCCAGTAGGCTGAGATCGGCAAGAGTTTGGGAGGGGATACAGCCAGGACATCCAGCCCCAACTGACAGGAGGGATATTCCATACCACATGGCGTTGTGCTCACCAAAAAACAGCTCAGAGAAAAGAGGAGGAATCATAGAATTGTCTAGGTTGGAAGCAACCTTTAAGATCATCAAGTCCAACCATCAACATAACATCAACTGCCAAGACCACCACTAAACCATCTTCCAAAGCACCACGTCTACCCATCTTTAAATACCTCCAGGGATGGTGACTCCATCACTTCCCTGGGCAGCCTGTTCCAATGCTTAACAACTCTTTCTGTGAAGATTTCCTAATATCCAATCTAAATATATCCTGGTGTAACTTGAGGCCATTTCCTCTTGTTCTGTCGCTTGTTACTTGGGAGAAGAGGTCAACCTCCACCTCCCTACAACCTCCTTTCAGATAACTGTAGACAGCAATAAGGTCTCCTCTGAGCCTCCTTTTCTCCAGGCTAAACAACCCCAGTTTCCTCAGACGCTCCTCATAAGACTTGTTACCCAGACCCCTCAGCAGCTTCATAGCCCTTCTCTGGACACATTCCAACATCTCAATGTCTGTCTCGTAGTGAGGGGCGCAAACTGAACACAGTACTCGAGGTGGGACCTTACTGGTGCCAAGTACAGGGGGAATGTTCATGGTTATTGTGTTCGTCTTCCCAAGCAGCTGTTAAGCACGCTGAGGCCCTGCTTTCCAGAAAGTGGCTAAACATCGGTCCACCAATGGGAAGTAGTGATTGAATTCCTTTTTACTCTACTTGAGCATGCAGCTTTTGCTTCCCCTGTTAAACTGCCATTATCTCTATTCACAAGTTGTCTTCTGTCTTCTCCCCATCCAGCAAGTCACTGGGTGCATCCTTAGCTGTTCGCCAGGGTCAAGCTACCACAGTCTGCCTTGGTGCCCGATGTGTGGCTTAAGATAATGACAGGTTTGATCTGAGCACATTATAGTTGTTAATTACCCAGCTCCTGTGCTGGTCACTGAGCTTGATTACTTTACTGCATATTAAAGTCCAGCATTTGTTAGTGGTTGGGAAAGGCAGCGTGGGTTTATCCTCCCCTGGGAAAAGGCAAAGCCATTCGTAGGATTATCTTTGCTCAATGTCTCAAGTGCACTTGGTGGGTAATGTGGAAGGATGAGGAAATCCAGCACGTATCTCAAGGATATTTAAACTTGGGGGAAAATAACCCATGATTTGAGTTGTACGTTACAGGAACAGTACAGCAGTAACCACTTGAACCAAAGGAGGATGAGCCTTGTGAGGAACCAGGTGAATGTGGCGGTGACCCAACCCAATTGGTCTTGGCACCCAACTATCCAATGTGCCACCTCCCCTGCACTAAGAGACCACTTCCAGAGATGGGTCCCAAATCATCCACTGTTCTTATCTGGGGAAGGGGCATGGGAGTAGAGAGGCTATGGAATAGCGGAATAATATCCATGTACATGTCATGGGACAGGGGATGGCAGTTAATGACATACCAATCTGTCCTCCAGAGATTATCACAAACCTTGCAGAAGGAATGTGCACTATCACCTCAGCTCATAGGCTCATATCACCTTAGCTCCCATTTTGATCAGCAGCTTAAGCTAAAAAAAACCCAACTGGATTCATATCAGAGCAGCTGAGATGTAGACAGATATTCTGTATTGCTAACTTGCCTCCACGAGCAGATTAACTGAGAGCAGTGACACTTTGAATTACCACAGCAAGTTTTCTAAAGCTTGTTTCTCAAAATTCCTTTTTGAAAAAAGAAAAAAACAAAACAAAACCCCACAAACTATTAAAGAAATTACTTATATATTTTAAATTATAAATAACCTCAAGCTAAGGTAACTTCAAATTATGCAGAAAACCGAATAATTAAATATGATAACTTTCCAAAGTTGTCATCTTCCCAATCTAGGACAATGAAAGTGGGGGAAAAAAAATTGAGGAACTATCCCTAACAAACATATTTTTTCCCTAATAAACTATGATGATTTAGATAATTTATACAGGTAGGAACTGAGATCAACTCCTGATCTTATGAAGCTGCTGTATTCAAGGATGCCTTTGTGTGGATCTGCCATTATTGAACGTCAGAAACAGGTCAGATTTCTTCCAGAGCAGAGACAACAGATACTCTTTAAATATTTATATACAAAAGTACCTGAGAATAGCTTCTCCACAGGAGAGCTTGGTGTGTGAAGAACAGAGAAGTTCCTAAAGAGGAGAGCAAGATGATTACAACTATTACAAGTATTAAAATCGGGCTCTGAAGAATCCCCAAAACCTCAAAAAAACCCACATGCAGTATAATATTGTGCTGCATCCCACAAGCAAGTACCAACAAAGCTAACTTTGAGAACATAGCTACACAAATTTTCAGCTAGTTCTGCTGAAAAGCAAAATGTAACAACTCAATGAACAATGCAGTGACAGAAGGGTAACATTTTCAGTGCCTGAGCGTCATCACAGAATAATTCCCATCCCATATTATACAGATTGTCTAGCCTTGCAAATTGTCACAAAATTGATCTAAAGCACAGATATGGCCCATAGCATTCAAATGGGATTCATGAGATGAAGAAAACATGTTAAAGAGTGAAGAGCAGAGTACGACTATGTCGCAGCAGAGGAATCTCGTTTAAATACGAAACCCCAAAGGGTGGTGGGTGAGAAGTGGCAAATAAGATAAAAAGTGTCAAAAACATGCCACTATAGAAAGAAAGGGCATTCAACACTGCTGAGAAAATTATGGTAGGGAAGCAAATCACATCGTCTTACGCTATTATGGAGAGACTGCATTTCTTGAACTAGCAATATACAAAACAATTGATCTCTGAAATATGTATATATGACATGTATTTTATATGTTGCATTAACAACATTCAGAAGTTGTTCCAGATATTATATCTGTGATCTTGAACTCTTCACGCTTGTTGAGGTGAAGCAAAACCAACATGCCCACAAACTCAGAAATAAGTAAAACTCTAGTTAAGCTAGTATACCATTTAGCTAGCAGGTCAGCACAAATGTAAAGGACTAAGAATGTCAAAAATCCCATTTTTAGGTGTGAGAACAGAAAAAGAGTACCACAGAGACTAGGAAAAAAATGAACGATAACTGCATTAACTCTTTACACTCTAGATTTAGATCAAGAGCTACTTAGCAGCCCGTATGTTATGTGATCCAAAGTACTGGGTACCAGCAAGTCCAACATCTAAAGTCATCAAATGAATAAGTTTATCAACTTCCATATCAAAGTACAAAACAAGCACCTTTTACACTTTTCACTGACTGAGTTTACATTAAATGTTCTGCCTTTGGTAGAGGCTTTTACAGTATAGAAATTTTTTTTCAGTCATATCAAGCTCTCACTTTCCTTAAAACATAATTAAATAAACCATTTGAAGCTGATCCTCCTCATAAAGTTTAATTATTTAACTTCCTACCATGATGTTCCTTGCTTGACCTGTTTGAATTTCGATTATAAGAACACGGTATTTTAGTTCTATTGCATTATATTTTGAACAGCAAAACAAGTGACTGAACAGTAAAGAAAGGATATTCAGCAAAGACCTGAACAGCATCCTCTCTGCCAAAACTGTAGTGTAGTTAACAGGTGGATGAAGTATGAGCAACAATTGTAACATTTTGAAACTGAAGCATACAAGTGTTTGTGAGAAATAGCTCTAGGACTGTCAGTTCTTCTGCAAAGAAAAGTTACTACAAGACTAAATGTTCAAGTGAGTTTTGCACTTTCCATCCACGTTCCTATCCTTCTTGTGTTTCCAAAAAGAAGCCCTAAAATCCAGTGATTTTGCTTCAGGCAAGTTTCCTTTGCTTGTC